CGGGGGTTTTAAATAAACATTTCCGCCGCTTTTTTTCCGGCTTGGGGAAAAGCCGGAAAAAAGCGTCTAGACTGGCGCGATCCTCCGGAATAAAGCCCTTTTCCGGCTTTTTTCCGGCTTTTCCCCAAGCCGGAAAAAAAGCGGCGGACATGTTTATTTAAATCCCGCGGGGGATATTTAAATCCCCCGCGGATTTCCCTATTCCAAAGTTGGAAATTAGCATGGCTATTTGGGAATAGGGGCCAGTCTAGACGTAGCCTAGATCTTCAAGTTTCCTAGTTTGGGTCCATTGCAGTCCCCTTCCTGAGTCGGCATATGCTGTTTTTGTGACCCAGTCTAGGACAATCAGGAAGAGTAATGGAGAAAGAAGGCTTTCATAAAGTCTATGAAGTTGATGTAGAATGGTGCTTGCCATTCAATGCATTGTTCTATGACAATCTGAAGTGTTACTATCTGGTCTGTGCAAGATTGTCCTTTCCTAAACCTGCCTGTTCTCCTCGTAGTTTGTGGACTATGGTCTTTATTCATTCCAGTATGACTCTGGTTAATACTTTGCTTGGAATGGACAGGAGGGTAAGCCCCCTCCACTTTCACATAGTGACAGATCTCCATATTTAGGGAGTTTCATTAGCGGCACTTTTCTCCAATCCTTTGGAATCTCTTCTGTTGTCCATATCAGATTTAGCAAACTGTGTAGCTGGTCCACTATAGCAGCTCCTCCTTCTTTTAATACTTCAGGTGGAATATTATCAGGTCCTGCTAATTTCAGGAATTCCTACAACATAGATGGTCAGCTACTTAACTCAGTTGATGAACAGGTAGCCAGATGGAAGGAGTATTTTGAAGAAGTGTTAAACAGGCCACCACCAACAAATCCACCACAGCTAGAAGCAGGAGAACCCCTAGATATCAACACTGGGGGTACGTCTACACTGCATCCCTAGTTCGAACTAGGGATGCAGTGTAGACGTACCCCCAGTGTTGATATCTAGGGGTTCTCCTGCTTCTAGCTGTGGTGGATTTGTTGGTGGTGGCCTGTTTAACACTTCTTCAAAATACTCCTTCCATCTGGCTACCTGTTCATCAACTGAGTTAAGTAGCTGACCATCTATGTTTTTAACATGTGTGTTTGGGTTTCTCTTCCTTCCGCTCAAGACTCGAGTTATATTTTACAGGGTTTTCAAGTCCCTTTATTTAGATGCTGCCTCTGCTTTTTCTGCAATCTTGTTTATGAAATTTCTCTTATCCCTGCATAGACTTTTTTTTACTTCCCCGGCAATTTCATCCTAGCGTCTGTTAAATCTTTCTTGAATAGCACTACTTACCTGCCTCTACAATCTAGTCTGTCTTCCCATTTTATAGCCAAGTGTTATATTATTCCACTGATATTTGCCATTCCACCATGTTTCTCCTAAAAGTTACAACAGCTAATCAATTTGAACCCCCACCTCTTTACACCATTGGTTCATCCATGAATTGAAATCTTGTCTACTTGTCCCTGAACACAGAACCAGAAACATTTCAGAGAAAGTTATAAACATATAGTATTTATTTTTGTATTAATTTTAAAAAGCACCATATTTTCATAATTTTAAAAAGCACCATATTTTCTTAAGAGCAAATAATTTCACTTTAAAAAAAATAAAACTTTGGAGGTTTTCCTAATAGAGTAGGGAACAGCTGGAGATTTTGGCACCAAAGTAACTGAGAGTATGTCTAATCTCCCAAATTTTGTCAACAAAACTTATGTCAACATCCAAAAGTCGACAAAACAAAAATTGCCAGAGAGGGTTCATGCTTAGTCCTTCTTTTGACAGATCATGTCCACAATGAAACCCACAGTATAGTGTTGAGGGAAAGCAGAGCTGATCACATCTTGAGTTCTCCCAAAGCCTCCTTGCCTGCTAGGAACAACATCATCTGTGGGAGAGGTCCAGGTTGGATATTAGGAAAAACTATTTCATTAGGAGGGTAGTGAAGCACTGGAATGGGTTACCTAGGGAAGTAGTGGAGTCTCCATCCCTAGAGGTGTTTAAGTCTCAGCTTGACAAAGCCCTGACCGGGTTGATTTAGTTGGGATTGGTCCTGCCTAGAGCAGGGGGCTGGACTTGATGACCTTCTGAGGTCTCTTCCAGCTCTATAATTCTATGATTCTATGAGCTCTCTGTGTTGAGGAATGTCAAAGCAGCACGACATTTGTCCCTTCCCCCTGTAGCAGCAGTTTGCCTGTCGCTGTGTTC